GCTCTGCTCCTGGCACTGCTTTCTTGATGGTATGAGGTCCCCCTATCTCACTGCTCACTTCTGTCTTTTATATCTCAAGACATTGCCTCAGGATACAATCCAATCCTGTAGACTGAATCCTGCCTTACTAACACAACTGCCGCCCATCCTCCCTCATTAACATCATAGAGGCAGGATTTACAATTATAGGAAAACCACAGAATACCAGGAATCATGGCCCGGCCAAATTGATACACACATTTTTTGGGGGACATAATTCAATCCACGACAATGGGTAACATAGTCATTTCAAAGGTAATATTAATAAGAACTCTCAGGTTGCACTAACTAACACGTTTTGTTGGTTTTTTTTTTTTTGTCCTTCTATAATTACCCAGTTCAGAAAGAGCCTTTGATGGATGAAGAGCTGTAATGCATGGAGACACTTCACAGATTCATTCACAGTGGCGGCGCTGATGCAGAATTTGTAAGTATTATTCAGACAAGCGCTGACATAGGTTGAAGTTTCCCTCGTGCTATTGGAAAAGGAGTCAGTAAGTACATTAAAAATGCGTACAAGATTTAGAAGGGATGCTTAACCTACTTAAGAGACTATTTCTAAGTGTTTTGGAGTTGTGCATTTGTATCCAGTTGATGGTATTCATGACAAATGGTACGGAGGTATTCAACAACAACAGCCCCAAAGTAACAACAGTTTAGAGTGACAAAGTGACAACAGTTTAAAGCTAAATTCCAATTACTTGATGTCTTGAAAATACTCAGGGATCTCTTTATTAAAATACTTGATGATTTAGATGGAATTTCCTGATTAAGGCTGGTCTTCTCCAAAATTAGTCAGATCATTTTCTCACAGAGGAAAAACCCCAAGTTTGCTTAAATAAAATAAAGACGTTTATTGGAAGTATAGGAATCATTCGAATGGGGAAACGTGGGCTCCACTGAAGTGAAACCCATGAATCCAAGGTGGGGCTGTGACAGAGCTCCAGTTATTAGGCACAATCGGGAGGTGCAACCCACAATAATCTCACTGGTGAATAATGAGGTAAGAGACTCAAAGGCAGAACATTGAAAAGCGGCACTTTGGATACCATTGGTTACAAAGTCACATTTGGCAAGATGGGATTGGTTGACAACAAAAAAATGAAGGATATGATTAAATGTTGTAATGGCGATGATTTCTGGTCATAAGACTTTCAAATATGATTACTCAGAGGAACACATTCCATACGTGAACATGTATCTTCCTGGGGGTGGTCTGCTTGTAGTAACAGGATGACTACGAGGCAGGTATCCTGAGACCTCATTGTTAGAATAACTTGCTTAAGGCAGAACATTTCCTGAGGACGTCTTATACTAAGGGTTTGATGACCATTTCTGTCAATATCCCCAGAGATGATGCCTACCAGCCCTGGGGCTGACCACAGAGAAAAACAACTTAGTAAGCAGGTCTAGCTTCTGTTACAAAGGTCAACTGCTTCTGTAGTGAAAGCTAGAGTCAAAGGTGGGGTTTGGGTCCTGACTTTAAATCAGCCATTTTATTTTTGTCAACTGCCTCTAAAATTTAGTGCTCCTCATCCATTTAAAAAACACAGCTGATATTTAGCCAGAGTCAGCCAAGGGCCAGTAAGCCCCAGCCTGGGTGTGATGGTCAATTTTATGTGTCAGTTTTGCTTGGCTCTGGTATCCAACTGTTTGGTCAACCACTAGTCTAGTTGCTGTTATGAAGTAGTTACATGCGATTAAATCAGTTGGCCCTAAGTAAAACAAGTTACCTCCCATAATGTTGGCGGGCTTCAATCAATCAGTTGAAGGCGTCAAAAGC